AAAATATTTAAAAAATTTGAACGGAATCGTAATGATGAGATTTTTGATGCTGTTTTTTAAATTTTTTCAAAGATTGGTATAAGAAAAACTTGAATAACTGAACCTAAAGTCTTCCATTTTAGACTTAAGAGCATTTCTTTGCTAATAAACTCATTCAAAGGATGAAAGAGAAAAGTAGGAGGAACGAACGTCATTCAAAGTGTTTGGTGTTTGAAAAAAAAACTTATGACACAAATGACTTTTTTTGGCTAGAAATAAAAATAGTGTGATAATACCTTTCAACTGAGATTCCATAAGTCTAAATCAGAGTAGTTTTGGTGTTATTCAAGTTTTTCGTAAATCAATCTTTGAAAAAAGTTAAAAAACCCGCATCAAAAATTTCATTCTTGCGATTCCGTTGAAAATAGTTTTAAATATTTTTATGCAGATTTTTTAAGCTTAATTTGTCTTGTCATCTGAAGGGAGTATTTTCAAAATTTTTTTAAGAAACTATTTTTATTCACAAAAAACTCCATTTTCGGAGGTATTTTCAAATCGGTCCGGCTCACTTAAATCTTAAAATTTTTCCGAAATATTTTGGTGGACGTCTTAAAATATAATAAGTTTTGTAATCCTGACGGAAAAACCGCAACATTTTTTGGTGATGCAGTCTATTGTAAATATATATATGTATATACAAATTTGTACATTAGACTGCATCACCAAAAAAAGTTGCGGTTTTTCCGTCAGGATTACAAAACTTATTATATTTATATTTATTATATTTTAAGGCGTCCACCCAAATATTTCGGAAAAATATTAAGATTTAAGCGAGCTGGACCGATTTGGAAATACCTCCAACAATGAAGTTTTTTATGAATAGAAATAGTTTCTTAAAGAACTTTTTGAAAAAGCTCCCCTCATATGACAAACTGGATTAAGCTTAAAAAATCTGCATAAAAATATTTAAAAATCTTTTCAATGAAATCGTAAGAATGAGATTTTTGATGCTGTTTTTTTACTTTTTTCAAAGATTGGTTTATGAAAAACTTGAATAACTGGGCCAAAAATGTTCTGATTTAGACTTATGGGAGCAAGTAGAAAGATATTTTCACACTGTTTTCATTTCTGGCCAAAAAAAATGTCATTCGTTTCCCAATTTTTTTTTTTTTTTAACACCAAAGCATCTTAATTCAAATTTGAACGACGTTCGTTCATCCTACCTTTCTCTTTCATCCTTTGCATGAATAATGGGGCCAAAAATGCTCTGATTTAGACTTATGGGAGCAAGTAGAAAGGTATTTTCACACTGTTTTCATTTCTGGCCAAAAAAAACGTCATTCGTGTCCCAATTTTTTTTTTTTTTTTTCAAACACCAAAGCCTCTTAATTCGACTTTGAATGACGTTCGTTCATCCTACCTTTTTCTTTCATCCTTTGCATGAGTTTATTAGCAAAGAAATAAAAAAGGTGAGAAAATACCTTTCTAATGGCACTACTTAAGTCTAAATCGGAAGAGTTTAGGTTCAGTTATTCAAGTTTTTCCTATACCAATCTTTGAAAAAAGTTATAAAACAGCATCAAAAATCTCATCANTTTAAGAAACTATTTTTATTCATAAAAAACTCCATTTTTGGAGGTATTTTCAAATCGGTCCAGCTCGCTTAAATCTTAATATTTTTCCGAAATATTTTGGTGGACGTCTTAAAATATAATAGATTTTATAATTCCAATGGAAAAATAGTGCCGATTTTTTTTTTGTATGGGGAGTGATGCAGTCTAGTGTACATATGTATGTACGTACATATGTACATATTTTCAAGCAATGATTAGTAATAGTTTCGAATTGTACATATGCACATTTTGCATACATACATCTGTAGATACATATATATTCGTATATACATATATCGTTATCTTAATATATGTAGAAAGGCCCTATCACACATTTTGTTCCTTCAAACATAGTTTGAAAATAAATAATATAAAAAAAACTTTTTAATATACAACGCGTTTATAAATGGACTAAAAAGTAGAAAATAATATTTCTCAGTCCCATAGAATTTGTTTTGATAACTTTTGATTTTGAAATTTTAGCAAAAGTCATTA